AGCTGTGAAATGGTAAAGCTCGGAGGAAACACTGCGGATCGATATAACCGAATTGAATAATGTCCACGTTGACAGCAGCGGTCAGTTGCTCCACAACCTCAGAGTGTTAGATCTTAACCACCAGATTCAAATTAAACGTCTAACATTTCATAAAGGCATGCATGTTCCAGACTAGGATCGAATGTTGAGAAATGATGGTGTTGTAGCGGGCCCTGAGGTGTCGAACAATATTTGAAAAAGACTGAATCACGTTTGGAAAAAACAGAATCGTATATAGGCCTGTCACGATAACGAATTTTGCTGGGCGATTAACTGTCTCAGAAATTATTGTGATAAGAGATAAAATTGTTGGGCAGCACGGTGGCGCAACTGGTAGAGCTGCTGCCTCTCAGCGAGAAGGTTGCCGGTGCAAGTCCCAGCCTTTCTGGGTGGAGTTTGCATGTTCTCTCCGTGCATGCATGGGTTTTCTCCGGGTGCTCCGGTTTCCTCCCACAGACCAAAAACATGCATGTTAGGCTGATTGGTAACTCTAAATTGTCCCTAGGTGTGAGAGAGAGACTGGTTGTCTCGTTTGTCTCCATGTGTCCCTGTGATGGACTGGAGACCTGTCCACGGTGTACCCCGCTCTTCGCACAGTGATTACTGGACATGGGCAATGGTGACCCCCGTGACCCAAAATGGAAGTAGCGGGTAAAAGATAATGGATGGATGGATAAAATTGTTTGATAATTAGTAATTATTGTCAAATTTAAGAAATGTTGGTTAATTTGTTTAGTGTGTAGTACATTTTTTGACCACTGGATGGCAGTATAAGACTGTTTGAACCGAAGGATAGGTTGTAAGGGAGCAAGCAGCGTGTCTCTTTAAGAAAAATGGGAAGGAGGCCCCTTGACGTGACACAGGCTGTCTCTCCTTTCTGTTTTTCAGTTCTCAAACTGGCAGACGCTCTGTGTGGTTTTAGCTCTTTAGCATAGCATTTTTTACACAAAGCTTTTAATAAAAAAAAAATCAATAAACAAGTTCTCAGCTTCTTTTTGCAGAGAAAAACAACTTTTTACACAAAGTCACGGGTTTCAACTTTGAATTTTGGAACTTCGACAAGACGGAGGTTTTTTTCCCCGAGGTTGGCCTGTTAGCTTAGCTCGTAGCTTAGCTTCACAGCTTGGCTGCGTTTAACGATCCAAAACCATGATTTTGAATGATTAAAACAGATTTTAAAGAGAAAGGGAAGGGTCAGTGAAGAGCACCGGAGTGGAGCCTTTTGTCATCCAGTGTCTTCAGTAGAAAGAGAGAGACACAAAGAAACAAAATGAAAACGAGGTCAATAATTTTCATTTATCATGCGATTAATTGATTTATTGTTTATTGCGACAGGCCTACTCATATACAGTATATACACACATACAGGTGCTGGTCATAAAATTTATCATAAAAAAGTTGATTTATTTCAGTAATTCCATTCAAAAAGTGAAACTTCTATAGTATGTATGTATGTATAGTATGTATAGTATGTATGTATGTATAGTATGTATGTATGTATGTATGTATAGTATGTATGATGGATAGATAGGATATGCTTGATTTTAGTAAATGTTAGTCACGCTTTGTCCGTTTTATCTGCAGAAGTGGAGAACACAAACTGTATCCGTCTTGTCTGTCTGTACAATCACCATGTATGTAAATTGTTTTCAGTGAAGTGTACATAATTGAAATGTTCCTGGATCAATCAGTAGTTTCATATGTAATTTAACCCCCTCACCTCAAGCCATCATTTCCAATTTTCATTTGAATAAAACTGCATCAGGCGTGGTTCTCTGATGTGAGGCACTGAAACATGAAGTGAATCAAATGTCTGTCAGGGTTCACAGGAAGTGAATGTGTTTTCATTAGCAGGTACTATATTTGGAGGAAATGTGAGAAAGTGATAACGCAGCACAGCTGGAAAGGAAAGAGACGTTTCAACAACTGTCACTGCAGGTTTTTGCGTCTTTAAATATGTTGCAGAGGCTTGCTGTTTCTCTAATCTCTGCACCAAACTGACTGTCTACCAATTCTTTAAATTAAATAATGGCCTAGAATTCAATAAGGAATGTATATTTTCTGCTGCCTAGTTTTACACTATCTAATGGGGAGAAATGACATCGTTGTAGACGTTTTACTCATAAGCAGACATTTAAATGTTAAAACCCACCTTTCTTCATTCCACTCATCCAGTCAAATACTGCTCCATTATTTTGTGCTCAGGTGTTGACAGTTTTATTGATGTTTATACTTCTGATTTTAGCAGAAAAACATCACATCTTAGGAATAAAATGAGGAAATTTGAGGAACTACCCATCAGCATTTCTCAGAGTTTGAATAATTCATTATTCCACCTCAGATATTAGAGGATAGAGCATGTTAGGTATTAATATTTAAAACACACACACATTTTGACTATGATATATGTGCTCATATTAAAAACACAAAGAAAATAATAATTATCTTTAGCACTTTATGGTGTCATGAGTTTTCAAAGTTTTAGTTGGAGATAGAAGGACTTTCTGCTCTGCCACACTGATACTATGAATACAAAATATACTATAAATATCTTGTGTAGTATGTTAGAGCTCAGAATGTGTATTGAAGATCAGTCTCATCTACTACCACACCAAACTTTAGGTCAATAGCTCTAAAATCCTATGGGTTATGATGCAGAAGCTCAAGTTGCAGAATATCCAAACCGCCAAATAATCTTGTCATAAAATTTAGTCATTGTTTACTTAATAAAAGTGGATTTATGTGAAATACACAAATTAAAAAGGTTTTTTTTTTTGGTTGTCTTTTTTACTTCCTTAGTCCAGAAACTTGATCTGGAATTGTTGTTTTGCTCACAAGTTTTCTAAGACTAACCTGACAGGACGGACTTTAAATTGAATTGAAACCCAGTCGACTCCAAAAGTAAATCACTCGTTTGCCCATTTAATTATTTGCATATTTTAATATCTGTCCTCTGGCAGAATATGAAATATTCTGGCGATGCCACAGAAAAGCACACTGACAAAAACAGCTGTTTTCTTTAAATAGTAAAGCTAGCACGCTAAGTCAGTGGTTCTCAAACTGGGGTTCCCGGACCCCCAGGGGTCCGCAGGGGGTGCTTTGGGGTCTGCCAAAAAACACCACACAAAAAAACGTATTTGCCGCCGTACACGTTGCACCACCTTATAAGTCGCACCAGTCCAAATATGTCTAATAAATCCATAAATAAGTTGCATCTATTACGCGTCACCGCTGACAACCTGGAAATGTGGGCTGGTGTTGTGCCAAAAATTGATTGGCTGCCAAACGGTGGCCGCGAGTGCGTGCACGGGAGGACTTTAACAAGAATTTAACAAGATTAATATTTAAAAACAATTATTTGTTTGCTCTATATTATATTGAAGGTGTGTCTCAGTCTAACTTTTACTTAATAAATGCACTTTGACGAACAAATTAGCTGCATTTCGCCGGGGCGGCGCTGCGGAATGAAACTGATTTGACAGTTGCTCCATGTGAGCTGGACGAAGGTGGCAGGCTAAGGCAAGCCGATTGTGTCATTAATAGCACTTTTACCTATTACATGACACAACGGCATGCCATACTACTCGAGTGCCATCTAGCGGCTGAAAATGGTAGTGTTCAATATTTTCAGTTAGAATGAATGAAAACAGTCATATCTCAGCCAAAAATTGGTTTATAAATATGTAAAAAAACAAACAAACAAATAAGTTGCTGTGGCGCCAAACATTGGTTTATAAATGTGTAAAAAAAATCCATAAATAAGTTGCTTTGGCGTATAAGTCGCAGGACATGTAAATTATGCAAAAAAAAACAAAAAACACTGCAATTTATAGGCCGAAAAATACGATACATTGGGTTTTCTTTACAAGTACATAGATGTTTAACAACCCGTTAAAATACATCAAAAATGCAGGAAATCGCATCTACTTTATTCAAAATTTTCTGGTAGAGGACCCCCTGACATCTCCCTCCCTATTTATGTTCCGGCATCGATCAGTTTACAGATTAATCCCTGTTACTTGGTACGACTCCTGCTGCTATGATTCTGTTCAGTTTTATGTAAAGAGTTTTCTGTAATAATTTTAAGTCGTGGCCATACATTTATTATGTGAATAGGTAAAGTTTTAAATTGGTTTTTGATGCTGTTAATTTTCTCAAAACTGTAATTTTTGGAAGTTGAAATTAAAAATTTTGTTAATTGTGTCTTAAATGAAAAATACCCGATTTAACGAACAAGTCTTAAGTATTAATGTTACACAAATATTTCCATTGCATTAAAGAGACAAACTGAAGAACATTATTTAATAAACATAAATTTTATGAGATGGTCCCTTAACCCAAAGGTTTGAGAACCCCTTCTCTAAGTCACCTTATGATAACACAGTGCTTTTTGACGAACAAACAAAAAAATTCAAGTACATTTAAAAGCTTTTAAAACTGAAAAAGCTCCATTAAAACCAGTTGTTTCAGTCAGTGCAGGCTGTCAAACAACCACTGGGACGTCACACCAAGAATTAGTTTTGCGTCCAGTCTAGTCTGAAGTGAAATCTTTTAGGTCTTGTGGATTGTTTTGTTGGAAAATTAGGCTTGTTGGTGAACTCTGTAGGTCAGAGTCAACTAAACTGCTCAGGGGCCGGACATCCAGCAGTTATTGTCATTAAGTTTGTTTGTTTTATGGTTTAAAATCTAGTTTTATTTAAAATGAACCCATTGAGGGGCTGAACTGATTTGTCCCCTGGGCCACCAGCTGTAGACGTTTCACTGGACCGGGGTTCTGGGACAGCTTGGTTGGTGTTACAGGATTCCTGAGCTGACCCTGATCAAGGTTAGATGTGGTCAGGAACATGAGGGGCTCATTGTTGCCATTCCAGGATGTACGTACAGAACTTTGCACCAAATACTCCGTTAGTAGTTTTAACTGAAGCGACTGACCCTGATCCAGCATTTGCCTTTTTCTTCAGGTGTTTGCCACCTATCCCAACGAGGACTACGACAGGCGCAATGAAGACGTGGATCCCATGGCAGCGTCAGCAGAGTATGAGCTGGAGAAGAGGGTGGAGAGGCTGGAACTGTTCCCTGTGGAGCTGGAGAAAGGTTTTTGAGTCTTTTTTTCCATACGAGCTCATTCAGGCTGGTCTCAAACATTTCCAGCATTATGACTAGGTGGAGGCAGCCAGTTTGCTGGCTTGCAGTATAAATAGTACAAATAGAAACATAATGCAAATGTTAAGTTCATTAGAAGGGTTAGATTGCTTTTGTAAAAAAGGCCTGGAATCATCACCATCTTACTCTGCTAGCCATCCGGCTCTCCACCGGGCAGCAGAGGTGAAATGGTGCAAATCTTTTCCTTTAATTTCTCCCCCGTGAGCCACAATAAAAGCATTCCTTCAACATTATGATGCATTAATATATGTATACATGGCTATATTTAGCTTTCTGTACAGGGAAAAGTCCAAAGATTACCCCATGTACCATTGATGGGCTGCTGTGTGTATCGTCTGCATGGAGCTTCAGTAATTTACCCCTCAGGCATTAAATCTAGGAGTTATTGGAGTTCTGATTTAATTTTCTAATCTCGTTACCAACCTCAAACTGAGTTTTTATTATTTCAAGGCTAAATGAATCCTTTATCCTTGAGATACAAATTAGTTTGCGAATACTTTTATTGTAATAATAAATCAGTTACAGTTCGTTGACATCAAGTGCAAAGTCTAAAAATAAAAGACTCACAATATTCTGGTCTGTATTTGCCCTCTAATGTTAGTTTGGGTATTCATAAAAATATTCCCAGTCTTTTGATTGATTTGCTGCAAATATATGTATTTTTGTATTTTAGGAAGCTAAAAATAGTAAGAGATTATTAAAAGCTAAATGCATCAAAAGGCTAGCTCGAAGCTAAAGGTAACAAAAAGCTAGCTAAAAGCTAAAAATAGTAGAACAGTAGCTTAAAGTACGAGAATGGTAGGTAAACGCTACGTCACAAAACACTAGCAAAAAGGAGCAAAACATTACCTGTAGTTAAAAACTAAAAATAACAAAAGGTTATGATAATTTGACCAAACTAGCTAAAAGCTAAAGTAGCTAAATGCTAGCTAAATGCTGAAAGTAGCAGAACAGTTGCTAAAACCCAAAAGTAGCACAAAAGACAAAAAAAAAAGAAAGTTTGCTTAATGTTTTTAAAGAAAATTAAAAGACTTTAAGGGGGGAGTGGTGGCGCAGAGGTTAGAGAAGGTGGGCTTGTGATTGGAAGGTTGCTGGTTCAACTCCCCGGACCGACAACATCAAAATATGGGTGGGATAGTTGAAGCACCCACACCTGCCTCCACCCTCATTTGCCCCACTCTGGACGAGCAAGGGCCTTAACCCCCACCATCTGCACCCCGGGCGCCCCAGATGGCAGCCCCCTGCTCCACACAGAGGGCTGTGGTAGCTCGGTGCTCTGTGGTTGGGTCAGGAAGGGCATCCGGCGTAAAAACAATCACCAGGTCTTCATGCAAGTTAGTTCGCTGTGGCGACCCCTTAAGAAGGGAGCAGCCGTAAGAAAAGAGGGGGGGGGGGGGTAATTTTTTAAAATATATATGGGTAAATATGTAGCTGAATGAGCTGAATGGTTTGATATAAAACAACACAAGGTTTGCAGAAGCACTTAAATTGCAACGCACGTACAATAAATAAATAAATAAACCCATTTAACAGAAAATACTTGAGTGTTGTCCACAGTTACACAACAATTCAAGTTTATCCATCCAGAGAAAGTCCTGACAGAGCTCCGCTTCTCTTTCAGACGACGACGGTCTGGGCATCAGCATCATTGGGATGGGTGCTGGGGCTGACATGGGCCTGGAGAAACTGGGCATCTTTGTGAAGACGGTCACCGACGGAGGAGCAGCGCACAGAGACGGCAGGTGCGTGAACATCAGGATCCTCCATCTGCCTAAAACTCAAAAAGAATCAACTGCTGAAATGCCCCGATGCAAACCGAGAGGCCAACCCTCTGCTTCGTGAATCACTTCCTGATTTAGAGCTGTGGTTGTAGACTTATTCCCATTGGTGGATGCTTATTTTTGCTGTTCGGTTTGGACAAGCACCGTAGATTTTGCTGCCAAGATGAAAGACCCGTGTGTGGGTTTGAGTGTAAAGACGAGGGGGAAGGTTTAACTGCGTAAACGGTTCGTCTCTGCAGGATCCAGGTGAACGATCTGATTGTGGAGGTGGACGGGACCAGTTTGGTGGGAGTCACACAAAGCTTTGCTGCCTCCGTGCTCAGGAACACCTCAGGAACTGTCAAGTAAGAGACGCTTTGAATCACCTTCCCTCATCAGATGCTCCTTTAAGAGAAACAAAACAACTAGTCTGTCTGCCACTTTACTGGTTTCTGAGATACTTTAGTCACCTGATGGAATATTCAACGCTCCCCATGTTTGTTGTTTATGCTCTTATGTCTTATTTATAATGTTTTCCTATGTCTTTATGCATTTGTGTCTGTTAGCAAAATATCTCATGAACCACTGAACAAGTTTTGAGTGAACTTGCAGGAGGTAATCACTACGGTGACCTTGAGGTTCAAACAACAACATTTGAAAAAAACGGAATTACATTTCAAAAATGCAATTACATTAAGCCAAACCGGAAGTGGTGAAAACCGGAAGTGGTGGGGGGAAACAGAATTACATTAAGCTAAACCAGAAGTGGTGAAAACAAGGAGGGTCCAGACCGGAAGTGATGAAAACCAGAAGTGGTAGTGGGGGGGGGGGGACGTGGCCACACCGGGAGTGGTTTTTGGGGTGGGGGTGGGGGGCGGAAGTGGTGAAAACCAGAAGTGGTGGGGAACGGCCGTGGCCAAACCGGAAGTGGTTTTTGGGGTGGGACGGAAGTGGCCAGGCCGGAAGAGGGAAAGCCAGAAGTGTTGGGGGGGAAAACGGAATTACATTTCAAAAACGCAATTACAGTAAGCCCAACCGGAAGTGATGAAAACCAGAAGTGGACAAAACGGAAGTGGAGAAAAAACGGAATTACATTTCAGAAAACAAAATTACAAATTTTAGTTAAACATCTTTTTTGTTTACTTTTTTTAAATCATTTGATTTGCTGCGGCAGCCCGGTGGCGCAACTGGTAGAGCTGCTGCCTCTCAGCGAGCAGGTCCTTGGTTCAAACCCCGGTCCAGGGGCCTTTCTGGGTGGAGTTTGCATGTTCTCTCCGTGCATGCGTGGGTTTTCTCCGGGTGCTCCGGTTTCCTCCCACAGACCAAAAACATGCATGTTAGGCTGATTGGTAACTCTAAATTGTCCCTAGGTGTGAGTGAGAGAGTGAATGGTTGTTTGTCTCGTTTGTCTCTATGTGTCCCTGTGATGGACTTGCGACCCGTCCAGGGTGTACCCCGCACCTCGCACAGTGATTGCTGGACATGGGCACCAGCGACCCCCGTGACCCAAAATGGAATAAACGGGTAAAGATAATGGATGGATGGATGGATGCTTTGCTGCTTCTCTGTTCCAAATAATGTTTCTTAAATTTAAATTGGATCTGTATAATATGTCAAACTGTTTGTGTAGATGTTGACCTTAGGAGGTATAACAGAGGATTCTTCACGTTTATATGTATCATTTTGTAAATTGAGATTATCATTTGCTCTTGTGTTCTACAAATAAAGTTAAAATATATATTGTGTTTTTTTTACCACTTCCGGTTTGGTCACATGTAATTCTGTTTTTCAAATGTTGTTCGTTTAAACCCCAGGTCCACCTTAAATCACAGAATGCACATCTACAGCTGACTTAAGTTTTAGAGTCAGCCAAATTCAAGATGGCAGCCACGGCCAACTCACCTTAAAAACACAAACATGGCCATCAATTTTACAAACGCGCTAAATTGTGGTGTGGTCATAGCTGAAAGCTAATCATGACACATGCTCGATTATGCAAGACTTTTACTTCATACTTTAGCCTTAGCTGTTGGGCGTCAACCCTGTTTGTCTGTTAGCAAAATATCTAATGAACCACAAGGTGGGTTTTAATGAAACTTTTAGGAAATGATGTTTGGGTGTAGATCTAAAACTGTTCAACATTTGAAGCCAAGCCAATTCAAGATGGCCACCACAGCTAACCAACATTAGCAAACACATAAATGGCTATAATGCAGTCAGTTTTACAGATACTGCCCTAAAATTTGGCACGTTAGAAGCTGAGAGTTATTCACAACTCACACTGAACTTTATCTTGCACATGTTTTTTTAATTTTTTTTAAAGAGTTGACCAAAGCAGCTTCAGACATGTCATTGCATAACATTTAAATTTAGCCACCATTAGCATGCTGTGCTAACTTAGTAAAAATAAAAACCTCATTAAGTCGTGTCTTTTAACTGAGTGGAGTTGAGTCATCAGCATTCTTCGCTTCAGACGTGGTTTCCTTTTGATTTTTCTTTGCACCCTCAGCCCGTCGTACACGCAGGCCCGGCTTCTAACCACATCCTGCCCACTCAGTTACCCAGACTTCACATTTAAATTGCCGGTCTCACGGGGTCATGATTATAACCTTCCACATTTAGGAGCTCCTTTTCGAGGCGGTCCCAAAGATTTCCCCACTAAAGTCTCAGAAACAAACGCAGTCCGCACCGTCCAAATGCCACCGTGCTATTTACAGCCGGCGCTCTTTGGAGCTCCTTTTGTTATCCGAGCTCATTCATAATTCAGGCTTTAGAGGTCGGTGCTGATTCTGAGAGTTGCGTGTGACTTATGAAGATCAGAGGCCTCCACAGATCGGCTCATACATTATAGATCTTTGCTGCAGAGACGGCCAAAAGAGCCATTTATAAAAAATAAAAATAAAAAATAAAAAATAAAACACGTCAAGAAGACAAATAGCCTGGGACAGGAAGTGTGTTTGTGGTGCATTTAATTACCCGTAAACGCTGCGGAAAATTGAAAGACAGCAGCATCTGGCTTATTAACCAGCTGTTGATCTGTGATTCAAAATGATTGTCTCTGTTTAATGTTATCTGTAATTTGACAGAGATTTGTGAGGGAGCATTTAGCGTCTGCAACGACTTGTTTAATGAACTACAAGAGAGGCAGCGATGAGGATTTGAAGAAAAGGTCTTTGTTTGATTGTAAACAGGAAGCGATTTTCTCTCATTAGACTGCAGTAATACCTTCAACTACACCAACTCAGGAAGGCTGTAGTAGTTTGTCACTTATTGTACTTAAAGCTGTAGTTCTGACCTTTTCAAGTGGAAAGGCTATGAAAAATAACATCTTACCTGTTGTAGATGGCTCGTTGAAAGCACCCTTTTTATTGTTTGAAAAAAAAAAAAAACAACAACCTTGCCCCATCTCCTTGCTCAGCTTTGGAATAAACGTTATAAACTAAAACGTGGTTACGAGCCGTTTTAGCTCCTTCGTATGTACATGTGCACTCAGACCCCTCACGTGTGTCCACAGGTTTGTGATTGGCCGAGAGAAGCCGGGCGAGCAGAGCGAAGTGGCCCAGCTCATCCAGCAGACACTGGAGCAGGAGCGCTGGCAGAGGGAGATGATGGAGCAGCGCTACAACCAGTACATGGACGAACAGGAGGTCAGTGTTCCAGAGGACGAGTCTTCTGATGGAGGGTCCGGCTGGAATCAGTGAGACGAGAGAGGCTGCAGCATTCTGCTTCGGCTGCATTCGAACGTGCAGAACTGCAGTCAGACCTCCTAATGTTAGAAATGACATTTAATCAGAGAAGGTGCTTGTATGTGAAAATGCAGTTTGAACTCTGAGTGCCGAATGACTGCTAAAATTTGCTGAAGAAGCTAAAACTGAGTTGTTGAAGCTAAAAGCAGCAGCACACTAGATTAGCTAAAAGAACAGACTGCTGACTAGATGCTAAATGGAGCTAAATGCTAGCTAAAGTAGCAAAATGATAACTAGAGTGTAAACGTAGCAAAAGGCTGTCTGAATGTTCAATGTAGCAAAGACTAGCTAGAAGCTAAATAAAGTAAAATGCTAGCTGAAAGCTAAAATAGCTTAAATTTGCAGTGCTGTAGCTGAAAACAAAAAGTAGCTAAATCTAGCTAAAATTAGCAAAACAGTATGTAAATGCAGGGCAGCACGGTGGCGCAACTGGTAGAGCTGCTCCCTCTCAGCGAGAAGGTCCTTGGTTCAAACCCCGGTCCAGGGGCCTTTCTGGGTGGAGTTTGCATGTTCTCTCCGTGCATGCATGGGTTTTCTCCGGGTGCTCCGGTTTCCTCCCACAGACCAAAAACATGCATATTAGGCTGATTGGTAACTCTAAATTGTCCCTAGGTGTGAGTGAGAGAGTGAATGGTTGTTTGTCTCGTTTGTCTCTATGTGTCCCTGTGATGGACTTGCGACCCGTCCAGGGTGTACCCCGCACCTCGCACAGTGATTGCTGGACATGGGCACCAGCGACCCCCGTGACCCAAAATGGAATAAACGGGTAAAGATAATGGATGGATGGAGTATGTAAATGCTACATGTAGCAAAAAGTTAGCTAAAAGAACAGCCTACTGACTAGATGCTAAATGGAGCTAAATGCTAGCTAAAATAGCAAAATGATAACGAGTAAAAGTTGCAAAAGGCTGTCTGAAAGTTCAATGTAGCAAAGGCTAGCTAGAAGCTAAACAGAGTAAAATGCTAGCTGAAAGCTAAAATAGCCAAAAAATTGCAGTGTTATAGCTGAAAACAAAAAGCAGCAAAAATCTAGCTAAAATTAGCAAAACAGTATGTAAATGCTACATGTAGCAAAAAGTTAGCTAAATGCAAAAAGTAACAAAAGGCTAGCCAAATGTATCAAAATGCCAACTGAAAAAAAAAAAAAGATATCAGAATAGTAGCTAAAAGCTAAACAAGCAAAATGCTAGCAAAAATCTAAATGTTGGCTAGATAAAAGTTCAAAAAGTAGCAGAATGGTAGCTAAAAGCTACAAAGTAATTAGAGCAATGTTCTGGGAAGAACTAAAGAGGTCTCAGTGAATTTCTATGATGAAAATGTTTGTACATAATTTTTTTTTTAAAGTATAAAAGCTATAAAAACAAACTTTACCCAATTACTGTATGAGCTGAAATTTTTAAATATTTGAACAGGTAAAATAGCACAAAGCTAAATAGATTGCAAACAATGTACTGAAAATTTAAAAACTTTATTTCACTGCTGCAACATAAACATATGAACTCATCTCTTCACAAACTTTAGCTGAAATAAAACCCCTAAAAAGGTTTAAAGACCATTTTAGTTTGAACACACACACAAAAAAAAAAAAAAACGGTTAAAAAACAAGGTTTGTGTTTGACGTCCTCACTCTGTATCTTCTTAGTTTCTCTGTAGGATTATGACATTAATCTGACGTCAGCAGCAAGTGGTAAAACCATCTAGCGTGCACGATCATCATCATCATCATAAGCTCAGATCAGAAATGGGGCCAAATCAGGATGATTCAGATTTAGTCTCTTTCTGTTTTGTTAACCAGGTGACAGAAATGTTCTGCTCATGGATTTGTGCTCACCACCACCGCCCTAACCCCCAAACTGGGTTTGTTTGCAGATTCATGGGTGGTTCTAAAAAAGCTGGAGGTTATTTTAATGCAAAAGTCAGATATTTGTTTGATTCTTGCACCACCTAGTGGCCACTTGGAGCTTACACTCAGAAATAAGTGATTTTAAGGGGTTAAATTTAAATATTGGATATTAAATGCTAATTTATTCACTTATAAAAAACTAAATTCCAATATATAGTTTATAAATGAGGGCCCAAAGTGAATAAAAACTGAATTATATCAAGTTATTTAATCGTTTTGCTACATGAGTGCAGTTTACTGTTGTCTTTCTGACTTGATTCTGCTCCCTCACTTTTTATATGCCCTCCATTGTCCATCCATGAGGAATCTTACTTTTTATCGTTGAAGTTTTAGTTTATTCCTATAATCTAGAATCAACTCGCTTTAAACCGTTTTTGGTCTTCTTGTGTGATTTTTCTTGCAGGGCGGTGAATACGGCACAGATGAGGAGGAAGATGAGGATGAGGAGGCCAGTCCGCCGTATCCCAGCGCCATCGAGGTGTTTGACCTGGCAGAGAACGAGGACATGTCCCCTCTGGAGACGGACCCCGAGAAGCTCGCCCATAAATACAAAGAGGTGAGACGTGGCTCTCACGGCGAAGCGTTTCATCACTGAGCTCGTTTCCTTTGATGCTACCGACGTTAGCACCAATATTTCAAAGATGACTTTTGCTCTTTTTTTAAAGCTCCACATAAAACATGCTGTGACACAGGCCGAGATCCAGCAGCTGAAAAGAAAGGTGAGCCTGAAAATCTGGACACCGTTTTAAAAGGTTATTTAAAGAAAGGTGAATAAACAGGACGTGCGTAAATGCTGAGTCAGCACAGTTGATTTCCTGTTTATAGTTTCTTCTAATATTTAACTTTATTTACTTTTTCTTTCTCATTGGTTTGAAACGAGAACTCATTAAAATCTAAATTCATCTACGTCAGCATACTTTTTATTTTTAGCATATAGCATTTAGCTAATTTAGCCACTGTTTAGTAAATTGTACATTTTTATGTTCTGTTAATTTTAGCTAATTTTAACTTATAGCTCAAGCTCTAATTTTGTTGTTAATTTTAGCTTTTGGCTACCCTTTCAACAATTTATGCTTCCGGATACTGTTTAGCTCATTTTAAATTTTAGCTAGTGCTTTACAGATTTAAGCTTTTAGCAAGCTGTTCTAATTTTAGCTTTTGCCACCTTTTTTCTGATTTTAGCTTCTATTTTTCAAATTATAGCTTAATTTTTTTTGTTGCTTATTTTAGTTTACATTCTTTGTTTCACTAATTTGAGCTTCTGATTTTCTAATTAAAAAATTTAGCTATTATTGTACTGATTTTAGCTTTTAGAATCTATTCTAATTTTAGCTTTTGCCACCTGTTTATCCAATTTTAGCTACTCTTTTTCAAATTGTAGCTTTCATTTTTGTCTTGCTTATTTTAGCTTACATTTTTTTGTTTCACTAATTTGAGCTTCTGATTTGCTAAACATTTAGTTAGTATTTTACTGATTTTAACTTTTAGCAGCTGTTCTAAATTTAGCTTTTGCCACCTGTTTTTCTGATTTTAGCTACTCTTTTTCAAGTCATAGCTTTAATTTTTGTCTTGCTTGTTTTAGCTTACATTCATTGTTTCACTAATTTGAGCTTCTGATTTGCTAATTAACATTTTTAGCTACTGTTTTGTAAATTTTAGTTATCTGTTATGCAAATTTTAGCTTTTAGCTGCTATGTTGTGTTTATCTTTTAGCCATCCTTTTCTAATCATAACTTTTTCATTTTTAGTTGCACATATTTTAGTTTGTTTTGATCGTTTCACTTTTTTGAATGAGCTTCAGCTTGTTTGTTTATTTCAGCAAAGTCTTTCAGCTCTCAGCGTTCGTGCTGCTTTTTCTGTGAAAATGAAATTTCCCCCGGTACGTGCGTTCATTAGTTTGTTTGTTTGTCCGAAACATTTGTGCACGTTCGTCTCTGCAGCTGCACCACGCGGAGCAGGAGAAGCAGCGCTGGCGGATGGACAAAGCCCAGCTGGAGCAGACGCTGCAGGAGAACAAGGAGCGGATGGAGAAGCTGGAAGGCTACTGGATGGAGGCTCAGAGCTTGTGCCAGGCGGTGGACGAGCACCTGAAGGAGACTCAGACCCAGTACCAGGCTCTGGAGCGCAAATACAGTAAAGCCAAACGCCTCATCAAGGAGTATCAGCAGAAGTAAGAGTCTGACTGCAGAGATTAACAACTGAGTCAAACAGGGAGTTTATTTTGGATTTTGATTTTTACAGGGAGATTGAATACCTGAAGAAGGAGACTCAGCGTTGTGCACAAGTTGGAGCTGAGGCCTCCATTTTGAAGGAGGAGTCGGGACAACTCCAGGAACAGGTAGAGGAGGCGACTCCACATCAGTCAACATTTAACTCGTGCTGGGAGTCGTTCATCTTCTAGTTCTAGTCGTTTGGTCAACCGCTGGAACAACAACGGCGCCGCAGCGACGTCGTATGATCTCACGAGCCGTCGCTTTCGGAGAGCGTGTTGTGAACAACCGTCAGCTCGAAAGTGACTCGGTTGTAGACATTTTTAGTGTCCGTAAACAGCTGTGTGGATTTAATTTAAACTTTTAGCAAATATTCATTGCATTCGGAGTCAACCCAGTTCAAGATGTCTGCCATATTTTTCGCCGTACACGTCGAACCGCCCTATAAGTCGCATCGGTCCAAATATGTCTAATAAAGTGGACAAATCCATAAATAAGTCACCTTTTTTTTTTGCCTTCCCCCCACATATGTTGATAAATAGTTTTGAAATGTGGGTCCACACTCGGTGTAAACAAAGCTGAATATTCCGCAACCCACCTGGAAGTCTGAGTCACTGCTAGGTTTAATGTTTGACCTTTTTTCCCCCATCGCTTCGGCTGTTTCTGTGGGTATACGTGTGGTTGTTGGCAGCTGGTGACTAAATTTAATTCAAGGACATGCTTCTTACTTATGAGTTTTTAATTGATCTGATCCTCAAGACGTTGCGATGAGCACCTTTAACGTTATTTTCTTTTCCCCCCAGGTGGCCGATCTGGAGTGCAGGGTGGAGGAGCTGAAGTCCGAACCTTTATAAGCCTTTTTTTTCCCGTTCCGTGTTAAACTTTTCCGGATGAAGCGGCGTGTCGTTGCACTGAGCTGCAGGGTATCTGTCTCCAACACGAGCCTGGTCGTATGCTCGGTCCTTTGGCCTTGTGTTTCAGACACTTTTAACCTCGTTTTTCCGTTGACACCGATCAAAGGAGGAAGTTTTGTCGTCTTAAGGACAAACCGTTGAGTGCTAAATGTATCATTCTTCTTCAAGCCCCAGATTTCAGTATTTCTTTCCTCTTAATTTGTTGTTTTGTGACCAACCAAGCATTTAATTGCCAAAAAAACAAAACCTTGTTTCCGTTTTGTGCCCAATATTTTTTTCCCTTTTTTTTTTTGTTGTACAGGTGTGATACTGTGTTTTAACAATCATTTTAATTTGTAAAAATACATGTATGTACATTTAACATAATGTAAACGAGGGTTGTTGTACATTTTACGCGACAAGGACGGACATTGCACTGAAGACATCATCACGGAGGAAAAAGTGGGAACATTTTTTTTTTTTACGTCTTCAAAATCTTAGAAACAGTATCCCAACCTTTGTAGGGGTCTCGATACATAACCTTGCTGCCTACCTTTCAGAAGTGTTTGTGCATTTTTTACACTAAACCTCATCGACAAGTGATCATTCCTCTGGTTTCACCCTTGAATCTTTGGAAAAAAGGACCTCTGAGACAAACCTCCACAACCTCTGTGCCACAAAACTCCGTATTTCCCCCTCAAATGGATGTTGTTAAAGACTTGTGTAACCGGAGTTAGGACTAGATTAACCATTTACAGGACTGTGCCGTTAACCAGCAGCGTTTTACGTCTTGAACCAGCAGCTGCACCTCGACACCGCCGTGTGTAGCACATGGAAAACCACTGCCAGGTTTCTACCTGTTTTCAAATGAGTCTTACTCGTTTCACCCGTCATGCCAGGATGTTTGTATAGTACAGGTTGGACTTCATTTAATTTTATTTTTTTCTCGATTAACGTAATATTTATAATATAGTCAAGGTGGAAATGTGAGCTAAAAATCTGACAGGAGCAAAGCAAAAAGTAATCAAGTAGGCAAAACAGTTGGTGTCATGTTTTTAAAAATGAAACGTAGATCTGGGTGACTGAAAACAAAAATCTAGGATTATATGAATTTAAAAAACAGGCATGGTTATGACTATTTTCATAAATATTAAGGTGCACATGCTTTGCATTGTATGTTTTGTGGAATAAATGGTCAACAGTGATTGTCGGCTTGGTTTTTATTTCAAAGTTAAACTCCTTAAAAACAACTAAATTACTGTGCAAAATTTTTGAAACCACCACAAATGTATTTATACTTTGCATCCAGGAATCAAGACTTAACAGTTTGAATGTTTATGAAGCATTCACACTATTGTGATCCATTTTTCTTCTGTACATTTTCCATCATCGTTCTCTTTCCACAGTTTTCAAGCTATTTCAGCAAATCGTAAATCCAAACGTTCCGCTCTTTCAGGACAATCCTGCTATGACTTTTGGTATTGGTGCAACTTTAGCTTTTAGAAATATTTAGCCTTTTCTGCCACTTGTTTTCTTCATAGAAAATGAATTGAGCTAATTTTTCATCCTTCAAATCTTTAGATGTGTTTACAACCTTTTGCTGCTCCTTTCACATTTTGTTCTGCTTCAGCTTCCTTGTGCAAATTTAAAATTTTCAGCTACTTTCAGCTGTTTCGTGCTCCCTTCAGATTCTTTCTGCTAACTACAACATTTTTGGGTACCACTTTACAATAAGGCTCCCCTTACGGATGGCTAATAGTTTATAGATACATTATTAATTCCTCTATAAACACTTTATAAATCATTAATAATTGTTTATTTTGCATTAATTAAGGGCGACAGAGAGACAAAACTGACCGGTTTGTTGACACACACCTGTTCACCTACACATTTCATCTAGCGTTGTTATATTAAACATTTCAGACTAAGTTACTACCTTGTAAGCACAATAAGCATTTGTAAACCTAATTTTTTTGGATATATTAGTTGTAGATACTTATATTGCAGGGATAAAGTACATTATATGCCAAAGATTTAGGTTTACAAATACTTATTGTGCTTACAAGGTAGTAGTCTGAAATGTTTAATATAACAACTCTACATGAAATATATAGGTGAAGAGATTTGGTTCACTATTTAGCAACAAACTGGTCAGTTTTGTCTCTGACACCCTTAATTAATGCATAATAAACAATTATTAATGATTTATAAAGTGTTTATAGAGGAATTAATAACGTATCTATTAACTATTTATTAGCCATCCGTAAGGGGAGCCTTATTGTAAAGTGGCACCATTTTTGTGCTTCTAACTTTCTGCTAATTTCAGCTAATCTTTAGCTGTTTTATGTTAATTTTAGCTTTTTCAGCCAATTCCACATTTTTTTTGGCACTAATTTAAAAAAAAAAATTTCAGCCTAATTCAACAATGTGCTCTCTCCACTTCCTTCAGGTAATTTCAGCTCCTATTTGTGCTTATAGCTACTATTCTTTTTTGTTGTTGCAAATGTCATCTTTTTCAGACTTTCCACTTTTTTGGGCCCAGTTAGGCACAATTGTGCTCTCTCCACTTTCTTCTTGTAATTTAAGCTTCTTTCTGCTTTTTTTTTTTTTAGCTACTGTACTATTCAGTTGTTTCTTGCAATTTTTTTTTCCATTTCTACTTTTTGTGCTCATTGCTGCCACTTTCAGCCTAATTAACTTTTTTCAGCCAATTCCTGCATCTTATGCTCTTTTCAGCTTTTTTTCTAGTTTCAGCTACCATACGTTTTAGCTGTTTTGTTCAGAATTGAGCTTTTTCAGATAATTCTACATTTTTGGAGCTAATTTCAGCTTCCACTTCCTTCTGGTAGTTTAAGCTTCTTTCTGCCTTTTCAGCCAGTTTCTGCCAATTTTAGCTTTTTTAGTTAAGCTTTTAGTTGAGTTAGGCAATTTCCTAATTTTTGTGCTAATTTCAACCTAATTCAGCAAATATGTATTCCTTCTGCTGATTTAGGCTTGTTCTACTTCAGCTACGTTTAAGCACTTTTGATTTCAGCAGTTTTTTTCCATTAAGCATTCAGTTTCTCTAGTTATTTTCTTTTAAAGTACCTTGATAAACAGTTTTCTTGTCTTTCGGTTGGTTTTCTGTCCATTTCTTAGAACACCTGAGATTCACCACCCTCGAGTCGATCGCCAACAAAACCGGTTCGAACTTTTCTGACTCCCGACCCAAACATGCACCAAAGTTGCAAACGAGTCAAAATTGCAAGGATATAATCATTTTATTTGCTAATCATGTTTTGTGACAAAGCTTATGTAAACATTTTTTTTTTAATTACCACAAAAATATGTTTTTAATCGTATTTAACTCATTTCTGGAAATCATTTTGAGACCCGTCAGAATGAACTTGTTGGAGTTTAAATACAATTTTCTGCCAGTCAAACTGTCAACTTTGGTATTTACTTCAATATATTGAACAAAAAGAAACTGAGGGTCTGTGATGAACTCCTGGAAACAAATTGCTTAAAATTTCTATTAAAAAAAAAAAAAAAAAAACTTGTTAAGGCTTGCATTTCACTTTGCTGCAACTACGTAGTGAAAAGCATTTGTGAGCGAGTCCTCAGACGTCCCTGAGGGATCTCCATTTCTTCTCTCGAATCGCAGACTCTGTCTTCTCACAGATTTGCGGCAGGCGTCTCCAGTCTGTCTCGAGCACTTGAGCTGTATTTGAACACCTGCACCTGCTCTCCAGCAGAAAACACATCCAGGTCTAAAAAAAAAAAATCACTTTTCTAGTTTTCTCAAAATTTGGAGTTGCAGCTCAGTGAAATACGACCTTAAGTTTTTGTGCTGACACAAAACTGTCTCAGCTCTTTTAGGACTATGACGGAGTAGTTCATACGTCAGATGAACAGAACGATCCTTCTGGAAGAGAAGTCGGGTAGTGGATGGAAAATAAGTGAAAAGAATCAAAGACGCCTAAATGATCTACAAAAGATTTTGCGAAAACAAGTAATTCATTATACTCCTTTAAAACAATTCTGAGATATTTTAGAGTATTCACAAAGTCCTGATAAAGGGATGAGTCTACGTGTGCACCTTCTGAAGGTGTCTCCTGAGATGATAGTTTCTGGAAAAGCTCTTTCCACAGTGCGTGCACTTGAACATCCTCTGCCCCAGGTGCAGCATCTGGTGCGCTTTGAGGCTCTGCGGGCGGCTGAAGCACTTGCCGCACTCGGGGCAGCTGTGCGGCCTCACGCCCGTGTGCTTCCTCTCGTGTCTCTTCAGGTCTCCTGACTGGCGGAAGCTCTCGCCGCAGTGGGTGCACAGGTAGGGCCTCTCCCCCGTGTGAGTCCTGAGGTGCACGCTCAGCTGGCCTTTGAAGGAGAAGCTCTTCCCGCAGTCGGGGCAGGTGTACGGCTTCTCGCCCGTGTGGACGCGCTGATGCAGCTTCAGGCGGTATTTATTTGTGAAACTCTTCCCGCAGTCGGTGCACAAATACAGCACCTTCAGAGAGTCGGCACACTCGTGGCATTTCAGTCCATTCAAGGTTTTATACGCAACGCCACAACGCAGACATACGTGTTCTCGCTCGTACTCCACCTGCTGGTCCGTCTGGCTGTCGTAATCACCGGTGGACAGAAACTTCATAGGGTGGTGCCTCTTGATGTGCTTCATGAGGTAACTCTTCATGGTGAAGGAATACTGACAGAAGGAGCAGGCGAAAAGCTCCGACGTGCAGCGATACTTCATGCAGGAGTTGCCTTTCTGATGCAGCGTTAGCCTTCTGGCCGTGGTGAAGCTTTTCTCGCAGCGGTCGCAGCTGTACAGTTTCAACTTCAAATGCTTCACCTGTTCGTGTCTTTGCAGCAGCTCTAACTTCTGAAAGGTCGCCCCGCACTGTTCACAGTTAAACGTGGTCAAAGTGCAGTTGTGCGCTTTGAGATCTTCTGGGTTTCCGTACGTCTGTTTGCAGTGGTTGCAGCTAAACCACTTAAATTTGACCAACTTTGTGCCCAGTTCAGAGCTCCTCTCAGCCGGACTGGCTGCTCTGCGTTTCGATGCCACGAGCTTGGTCAGGGCAGAAACGTTCAACACCGCTTTGGCACGCCGAGGTCTGTCTGAGGGAACGGTTTGGACCGAGTCTGTGGTTCCATCTTGAGCTTCGGCCGAGGCGTCGTCCGAGTGCAGCTCGTTTATGTGCTCCTGAAGGTCGTCCACTGAAGTGAAGGACACGGAGCATTCAGCGCAGCTAAACGGTAACGTGGCGGCATCCTCTGGATCCACGTTTACTTCCTCCCTACATTTGTTTTTCTTCTGATGGTTCTTTAGATGCCGTTTCAGGTCGTAGCTTTGGCGAAAGCATTTCTGGCACATGGAACAGGCATACGGACGTAGACTCCCGTGGGCGATTGCTTTGTGCTTTTTTAAGGACGCCTCCTTTGTGAAGCTCTTCCCACAAAGCGAACAAATGAGCTGAAATACTTCAGCCTCGGAGGCTGAAGTATTTGCAGCAACAACGTCGAGGGGATTTTCACTTCCATTAATTTCCTTTATAGATTCCACTGCTTCAGCAGACTCTAAATCTTCTGCTCTCTCTGCCTCGGCGAGGATTTTCTTCCGTTTCGGGGCCTTTTTGACAGCCTGCTTCCTGTGAACAAGCTGGTGTCTAATTAAGCCAGAGGCCTGGCTAAAACTCCGCCTGCAGTGCGAGCAACAGTAAGGCCGCTTGTTGGAGTGGACAACCAGCTTGTGCCTCCTGAGGTGAGGCGTTTGCTTGAAAACCTTGCCGCAATCATCACATGCATTGGATTTAGCAGGATCCGTTGATTCCACCACCGCAGAGGCTGGACAGTCGTTTGAGTCGGCATCAGGAGCGTGCTCTTCATCATCAGCTTCAAAGACTTGAGGCAGCGTGTGGAAGTATTTTGTATGTCTCAGGAGGAAGTCCTCTGTGGTGAATGTGAGCTGGCAGCTGGAGCACAGGTACACCGGGTTCGGCACAAATGGAGTCCTCTCTGCAATTTGAAAAGAGAAAGTTAGTTCACTGTAAAATTACACTTCGTGTGTAAAAAGGAAAAATAAAAAAAGGTACCTGATTTATTCAACTTCAAAACCAACAGCTGAGCCCAAACTTTACTGAACTGGGTGTACATTTTGCTGCTAGGCCACACGGTGAGCTCATCTCCATCGTTTACCGAGCGGCAGCAGTGAAAAAGAATGCTGCCTTTGCACTGAACTGCCAGCAGGTTCGCTTCCTCAACATTACGAGCAAAGTTAACGTACCTGAAATAAGAGAAACGAGAGACGGTTTAGAGCTAGAGAAAGCTTGATTGCTGGATGACTAACAATTTGAGTTAAAACAAGCAGAAAATGTAAAATCTACAAAACAAGCTAAAAACATCAGAAGAGTAGCTAGAAGCTAAATGCTGCAAAATAGTGGCTAAAATTAGGCAAATTGTAGCTGAATGTTAGTTAAAAGCTAAAAATCAGAATTGTAGCTAAACAGTTTATGAAGAAAATTGTTTAAAATGAAGATTAATGGATTTCTATAGAAATTTGTATTTAGTGTAAGTTATAGCAAATATTCTGAAAAGTATAAAAGCTACAAAACCCAAAAATCAGCACACTATTCCCATTTAAGCTGAACGTTTTGATATAAGAACAGTCAAAATAGCACAAAGTATGTGAAAGTAGTTTGCAAAAAGAAAAACTGAAACATAAATGCTGACTCAGCATTTACACAACTTATTAAAAATACTAAAAGTAAAAAAATGTAAAATAGGGGACCAGTACAGTAGCTTCCAGGTTAACAAAGTGAAGCTAGTAAAAATGCATCTTGCATGACATGTTTGATGGGAAAAGCCCAAATGGGATTCTACAGGAGCCTTTAAGAAAATGATCACACTTCTCATTTGACAACTCACTACTTAAGTTTGTTTTCTTGATTATTAATAAGTCTATTTTTATTTCAACTCATTATTCCTATCAGACCTAATGGCTCTTCTTTTACTCTAGTATAAGAAAGCACAGAGCTTGAGGAAAAAGGTTTTTATTCTGTTGAAGTTGGTTCATATTATTGCTGATTTTGCTGTCCATGTATTTGAATTACTGAAAGCTTTTTTCTCCTTTCTGGCTATACAACCCAACAAACAGTACAGTTACTCAGATTGTATTACTTCATCCAGTTTGAGGAAGAATCCATGGCAGCATCAATATACTCATACTGGTCTTCTCCTTGGTAAATCTGCATAAAATTACAATATTAGGACGATGTACACAACGTGCAACAAACAACTTTAAAGCTGAAGTTAGGACCTAATATCACAAATGGTTTCAGTTTAACATATATTTTACCTCCCAGGAAAAATCGCTTGCCAAGGCATTTTCCCTTGATGTCACTTCCCCCTCATAAGGTCCAAAATGCATTCCTGGAGACACCACTGGTCCGTGATTTATAACCCCCACTCCTGCGCTAGGAATACTAGATCTACCGATCATCAGGCCAAAAGGTAAGGTGAGGAGAGCTCGCTGAGGGACGCCCAAGCTTGTTGGAAAGTCAAGAATAAAAGATGGACTATTGAGGTCATCAGGATCACTCTGTTCCTGGAAGAGGATTAGACACTCCTCGCAACCTAAAACAAAATACAGTCGACTTAACATTGATCATAAACACATTCAGTCAACCTTTAATTATACAGGTTAATCCCATTGAGCCTCAGGGACTCGTTTACAAGAGAGACCTGATTTT